GGGGGGTCTGCTTCTCCCTCTGCCCTCTTCCCTCTCGTGCTGTCTCTCATTCTCTCTCTCTCAAATAAATAAATAAAATCTTTAAAAAAAAAAACCTAAGCCAGCCGTGCCCTCCCCAGGCTTCAGTCCTCAGATAAAAGCATCACCAGGGCCTCGCCCGATTCACCCTCGGCTGCTTCCCTGCCCTCGGCTCCTACCTCACCCCCCCTGGGCAGGCACCCCCCAGCCCCAGGGCTTTTGCAGCAAAGCCCCTGCTCACACAGCACCTCTGCGAGCCTCCTGAACACTCTTAAGGTTGCAACCTACCCCCGTCTTTCAGTTTTTCCACTGCCAGCTCGGAATGACCTCACGTCCCCTTTCATCTTGGTCGTGTCTGCCTGTGTTTTCCTGGCCACAGGCCCCAGCACCGGAGCGGTGCCTGACGCAAGGCAGGTGCTGAGCGAGGGTTTGTGGATGAAAGACTATGCGCTCTGAGATCCGTACAGGGTTCAAACAAGTATGTTTTAAAGAGCAAGTCCAAAATGGTATTAAGGGAGAGAGAGAATGAGTGCCTGACTTTTCTGTTTTCTGCAACATATATTTTATTTTTAAAAATGTATAAACTCTGACTTCTAAAGAGTCCACAGCAGCACATTTCACATGAGCGTGGGTCTCTCCGGGATTGCACAGGCAGTGACGGCCCGTGCTTCTCCACAAGGCTGAGGATGGGGCAGGAGGCCGGGCAGGTCCACGGGAGGCTAAAGGAATCATCCTTACAAGTTCATGAGCAGAAGCGTCAGTGCCCTTGACAGAACGGCCAGAGCTCACTTTGGAACCGCCTTCCCTGGGCTCCCACTGTCCCGAGCGCGCTTCATTTCTGTGGCTCCACTCCCGGGTGGAGCCAGGCTCCCAGCAGTCAGGGCGCACACCCTGGGAGGACTGGGGCCCAAGTCTACACCAGGGGAAGCGAGGACAGACTGGGCTAGAGGGTCGGGGTGGCAGTAGGGTGGGCGTTATCCTGTAACCCGGCGTGCGGAGCAGGCTGGAGCGGGGTCGAGTGTAAACAACAAAGTGGGCTGAGCCCACATCTCCCCCTGTAGTCTCTCTTTCCCAATGTCAGGACCTGGTACTTCTCTTTAGGAAAAGGGATCAAGGCAAATGATAGCAAGAGTTCAGACAGCAGGGGTTGGGGGAGGGAAACCTGTGTGTGGGAGCTGCCTCGTGTTGACCCTCGGCTGACACTATGGAAGTACCGTAGCATTCCAGAGACCACAGCGACAGTGTGGGGTCCCCAGCAGAGGCTGTGGGTCACTGCCTGCAAGCCTGGCCTCCAGCAAAGCCTGCTTCAGCCTCTGCTTTGTCGTCGTAAGGTGGGGGTTACACACACTTACCTGGCAGGACTGCGGTGAGCGAACTAAAACAGCGCTGCTGGAGAACGTGGTGGGCAGAATACTGGCCCCCAGAGACGCCCACATCCTAATCCCAGAAATGGGATTATGGCATCACGTGCAGCAAAAGGGACTTAGCATTTTAATTAGATTGCACTGGATTTTCAGACAAATTTATGGAAAACTGCACCAGAGATGCTTAATGGTTAGAAAGTAACAGGCTTTGTTTTTTCCTTAGGAAGTATTCCAAAGTTGATCACAAATGAATTTTTTTTTTTTTTTAAGTAGGCTCCATGCCCAGTGTGGAGCTTGAACTCACAACCCTGAGACCGAGCCAGGAGCTGGGATCAAGTGTCAGACACTTAACTGAGTCACCCCAGGTGCCCCAATGACATGAACTTTTATTTATTATTTATTTTAAAGATTTTATTTTTTAGAGAGCGAGCGAGAGAGAAACAACATGAGAGGGGCGAGGGTCAGAGGGAGAAGCAGGCTCCCCGCTGAGCCGGGAGCCCGATGTGGGACTCGATCCCAGGACCCTGGGATCATGACCTGAGCCGAAAGCAGACGCTTAACCATCTGAGCCACCCAGGCGCCCGACATGAACTTTTATCTTTCAGAGAAAATGTACTTGAAAGATATGAAAAGGCTAATTTTAAGATGACCGTTCTAAGACCGCCTTTCCACCCATGATCTTTCTTATGCTAAAAGTCTCATCGGTTACAAACAAGATTCAAACACTCTAAGAGCAAGAGCCGGGGTCAAGTCACTTCTACATGATCGGGGGTCGTAAGGACATCCTAGGCCAGGGACACCTGGGGCAGCCGTGCATTCTTTTCCTTGACTGCAGAGGCAGAACCATGTCAATTATGCAGAATGAGGAGACTCCCCATTTTTAAGGTGCCTCAATGAGCAGCATCAAAGAGATCAAAGTCCATTCCAAGTAGCACGGAGGCTCCAAGCACAGGGAACTCTGGCTCACGGGGACAGAGCCCCCCTCCGATTCCGTGGACTAGAGAGCCGAGCGCCCACCTGCGAGGGGACAGACCAGGAGCCCGGCCACACAGCCCAAGCGTTCTAACAGAGGCAGGAGAAGCCCAACCCCTGAGGGGGCCACCAGGACAGCAAAGATCCAGAACCTAGAGGAGACGCCAGCTGAATGGAGTCTCAGGGGCGAGGGGAATGAGCCAGGCAGAGGGATGAGGAATGATGCTCAACGTGGCTATAGGACAGGAGCAAGCAGGAAGGTGAGGGGCTCAGGAACCAGGGTGCAGTCTGTGGAGGGACTCTGAGCAGGAGAGGTGCAGGGGGGGGCAGGCGGCTGGGGGCAGGCTGCAAGCCCGGCCTGTGAGCCGGTCTATGGTGAAGGGAAACATGGCTGAAAGGGGAGAATGGGCCAGAGCCACAAGGTGAGGCAGAGGGAAGGGGGGAGGGTAGAGCACCTGGTCTACGTTTTTGCTTTGGATTTTTCATTTAACGATGGGATAAAAGAACTACATGGAAAGCATGGGGATGAAGACCTAGACAAGACGAGGAGAAAGCAGGATGAGGGCAGCAAACAGCCCACGACCGGGACCCCACGCCCACCTGGCCCCCCGGGCCTCTCCCTGCACTTGGCACTTCTGAGCAGCACACCGATCAAGAATCTGATCACAGTCACGGGCTCCCAGCAGCTCCCCGCCTCCCCCCCACCCCGCCCCGCAGCAGGGACGGCAGGCAGTGCAGCCCGCGTCCGCCAGCGGACGGCCCACTGCAGGTGGACGCAACAGCGGCGCCGTGCAGACGGGCCAACGGGTGAGTAACTCCCTTCTCCAGAACCACACAAGCCAGTTGCTCCAACCCTGGAAAGTCAAAACGGTGACTCGGTTCACTCTGCCAAGGGCTTGTTCACTTCTCACGTTTGCTTACCGAATGTGGAGCTCATCTAACGAGACTGAGCCCCAAAAGCCCCCAAGAGAAAAGGGAGTGCTCCTCAGCGTATACAAAGTTACATTCAGTGGGGGGCGGGGGGACCTCACTAGGATGCCTTTTGGACAAACGGGTAAAACTTCCTTCCCCCCGCCCCCAGAGAGCAGGCCTTCACTGGTCCAACCACAAGCTGCCCCACTGGTCACTCACATCCCTCAGGACGGGCCTGGGGCTTCTGGAATGGCGTCTGCCCCCACTAGCGATTCCGCTTTATGGAGGAAACTCCTCCACACCCGCCCCTCACCCTGAATCTAAGGAGGCTTTGCTAAATCGGTAAGTGAAGGTCATGGTCGAGGAAACAGCCCAGCCAAGTTCAGCTCCCGATAGAGAACAGCTATTTTATACACACACACACACACAGCTGGGTGAGGCGTAGAGCAGCGTGGCCCCTGGCATGGCCCAGTGCAGGGGAAACAGAGTGACCAGATTGTATCTGGCCTCAAAAGGTACGCAATCTTTGCTTCTGAAGTGAATGTTAAATACTGTAAACCATAAAACATCACCAATGCACACGGACACTTAGCTTCATTTTTTCCCCCTTTACTAAACTCAGGCTGGTAGGGATTTAGGTCTGGGGAAGGGCCTAGCGGCCAAAAATTTCTCTCCCAGAAATAATGGAGCCTTTGGCTCACCTACTGTCCAGCTCCCATGCTAGCTGTCTGGGCAGGAGACCCTCTGGGGGTCTAGCCTAAATTCCCAGAGGCGAGGACTTCTCCCCATTCAAAGAAAAAAAAGCTCTGGCCACAAAAGTACCACATCTAAGGAATTCTTTATCGTTGATAATCATTACAGAATTTCACCTTCAAAACAAAGTTCCTCATAAGGACCACACAGATTGGCCTGCAAGTAAAAATATGATTTACACAAACAAAACCCACAAAAAAACCAAACGGATGGCTGTCCCAGGGAGGTGCAGGGATAGGACAGAGGCTGCCGGCTGCACTCAGTGGCCAGGTCTTCCGAGGAGAAGCGCCAGGAGGGCCCAGGTGATGACCACGCCACAGACCCTGCAAGACAGAGAGGTCAGCGGTTCTGGACGGCGGCGGGCTGTGTGAGAACGGGCAGGTCCAAAGCCAGACACGCAGGCCCCCACCCTGCTCACCCAAATGTTCCTGTCTTCCCATCATTCTCCCAGCGTGAACTTCTGCCTTGAGGGCAGAATGGCTTTCAGACACATGCAGACGAGTCATTTTCCTAGTGATTTACATCAGAGGTTGACGGATGGAGAAAAGATTGCCTAGGGGCCATTTTTCTTCAAGCATGTGGTTTTCTATAGATACGGCTCCTAACCAGCAAGCCAAAATCCTCAGAGCAATTTCATCTTTCAGTTACGCAGGCCAAAAACCATGATTCAAACTCGACCCTGCTCCAGTTGGTCCTTGATCCCCCTTTAGCGCCCCACTCTGCCAGCCGGCAGCCCAAGCCCCGACCGGACGGTCCGCCCGCCTGCCTCCCCAGCGCTCTGCGTGCTCTGCAGTCTGCCCCACACAGAGCCAAGAGTCCCACCTCTCTGAAAATCTCCAGCTACCCGCAGCTTCTCCCACAGCCCTCACCCACAGCCCTCCACTCCACCAGGCCCACGTTCCTCCCCAGCCTCTCCTCGTGGTCTTCTCACGGCCCCTCGGCATCCCGGACACCTCCCCACTCAAGGGCCTCTTCCCCACTGCCTGGCCAGTCCTCCCCAGTGCTCTCCCTGGCTTGTTCCCTTACCTCCTTGGAGACTTTAATGGGGTCTCCATGTCTTCCCTTAACCAGTAACCCCTCCTTCTGGCCCCCCACTCCTACCTCCTGACCTGCTCTTATTTTTAATAAATGCTTGTCACCTGATCGATCCTGAAATTCACTTGTTCACGGTTACCTCCCACTGGAGGGTGAGTTGTAGGAGAGCAGGGATTTTGTTTTATTTGCGGATGAAGCCTAGAACCTATGACACTACCCAATCCAGCAGACGTTCAGTAAATGCTTGTCCAGTGTTACTGAAGGACATTCAGGTCGCCGTACTTGGGAATGGACTCCTTTACAACACACACTGGTGGGCTGCCTGGCTGGCTCAGGCGGTTGAGCATCCGACTCTTCGTTTCGGCTGAGGTGGCGACCTCGGGGTCGTGAGATTGAGCCCCGCATCGTGCGTGCTCTGTGCTCAGCGGGGAGTCTGCTTCCGATTCTCTCCCTCTGCCCCTCCCTCTGCTCGTGTGCACGCTCAAATACACCCCCCCCCCCCGGCGAGCAAACTCCACAGCCGCGGTCCCGGGCACACTTACTGTAACAGGCAGTTGATGTTCGGGGCGTGCCTCCAGTACCGGTAGAGGGACACCTGCAGGCTGGGGTGGCCCCTGTACTCCTTCAGGATGCTCCGGGCACTGCCAACAGACAGTCTCAGGTCAGGCATGCAAGTGTCAGCCCTGCTGCTCCAAGCAGGCTCCAAGTGGCCGCAAAGAGACAGGGTGGCTGAGGGGCATGGGGGTGGGCCGAGCGCCGAGGCACCTACTCCTTAAACTTGTTGGTCAAGAGCAGGAACTGGCTCCGCGAGAGTCGCCGCACATCGAACTTGCAGAGATTCTGAAACTCACGATAGACTTGCTGCTCGCTGACCCCAGGCCACCTCCGAACACGGAGGAGGAGGATGGGAGGTCGGATACTGGGGCAATCTGGACCCGAGAAATTCTAGAAGGCAGGGAGAAGAACAGAGGAGGTTTTCTGCACTTCCTACGGACAACTGACCTGGTTTGAAAATCCTGAGAGGCTAGGAGAGGTTCTGTCTGGGCTGGGAAGGGACGGAAGGAATGCGCGCATCCACGACGGTTTGGGCAGGAAGACAAGAACAGAACAAGCCTAGCGGGGGCGGGAGCACCCTCTTCACTCTGGTTTTGGTTGCTCTCAGACCACCTCTGAGAGATCCCCGAGAAAACCGGGCTGCTTCCCAGCACATGCCTCTGAGTAGGGGAAAGGAGCAAAAAAAAAAAGGCTACTCACAATCTTAGGGACCCCAGCTCGGATAAGATTCACCTGGTTCACATAGGGAGCGAGCACATCAAGGTAGAGAGAGAAGGAGGGCTCAGGCATGGGGCCAGCACTACAGGGACAGAGAAAACCCCAAAGCATTCAGGCACACCAGCGGTCAAGCACAGGTCCTCAGCCACAGCGAAGGGTCTGGGGACGGAATAGGGGAGGGTGCCGCCTCAGACCACTCTCCCCTTCCTCCTTCCAAATCGGCAGACTCCCCCAACTGACCAATCCCAGAGCGCCCTCTGGGGCCCCAGCCACAGCTGAGCTTTCAGAGGTCACCATCTGTCGGTGACACTTGGATAAAGATTCCTTGACAAGCATCAGCAATGGGCTCAGAGAATTAGTGAGAAGCCACGGTCCAAAGGTCCACTTGACAGGACATCGCTCTCAATCCCGAATGGCCGTCCCTCAGCCCTCATTCTTGCGTGCCTGCCTCCATGCAGACATGACCACGTGCTGGAGCCCAGGTCCGGGGAAAAGCACGGGCCTTGGAGCCAGGCAGGCCCGGGACACCATGGAACTTCTCTACACCTAGGAGGGTTTTGAGGTCAGGATTAGAACACAAGGATGGAAGGCACCCAGGTGCAGGGCATGAGGGGCTCCCCCATCAGGCACACGTGTACCTCCCAGTCGGCACTCAGATGCTGTCAAAGCACAGGAAAGAGTGAGAGAGCAGACTTATTTAAGTTATAAGCCTCACATCAATAGGTTATAGGGTACACAGCCATTACTAAAATGGAAAGATAGGGGCGCCTGGGTGGCTCAGTTGGTTAAGCGACTGCCTTCGGCTCAGGTCATGATCCTGGAGTCCCAGGATCAAGTCCCGCATCGGGCTCCCTGCTCAGCAGGGAGTCTGCTTCTCCCTCTGACCCTCCCCCCTCTCATGTGCTTGCTCTCTCTCATTCTCTCTCTCTCAAATAAATAAATAAAATCTTAAAAAAAAAAATAAAATGGAAAGATATAAGTAGTACCAAAGTTAACAGATTAGTAAAATTAATAAAAATTTTGGACTAGTCTGAAAAGGTTTCCAAGTCAGCCTCAAAGACCCTGTTACAATTTTGATTCGCTCCTTCACCAAGCCTAAATCCTATTTAACAAATGCACACACCAAGGATGGTGGCCTAGAACGCATCTTCCAAGTGTGGCCTTGGTGCCTAGGAGCCTGGTGCCGTTACCATGGGGAAATGCATTTAAGATTCCAGTTTGGGGTTTTAAGAATCTCTCCCCTATATGCCTTATTCCGAGTCACTACCCTTTTCCGCAGCTTGTGTGGACCCCAAGGATGTGCCCTCCCACCTCACTGATTTCCATGGTTACGAGAAACAGGTGGATAACAAAGCCTGCATACCAAACACTGTGAAGCACCGAGGCAGGTGTGAGGCCCTGCACCTGACCTTACTGCCTTGGCCTCCTGGCACGTGGATCTGCCCAGTGCTGAGAAGGGCCCTGGCCCAGCTCAGAGGGGGCCAGGGCAGTAGGAAAGGCCATCCCGCACCGCCCGTGTTTGGGAGAGCCACAGGAGCCCGGAGGTCCTCGCTTATAGCAAGGGCTCAGGGGATTGGACCACAGTTCCGGGAACAGGACAGAAGGAAGGAACACTCACCGGTGTACTCTCCACAGAAGCAAGTGTGCCACTTTCAGAAGAACTGGGGGGGAAAGCTAGAGATGTAACACACGTCCAGGCTCAACCACAGCACTCCATCAAAATACACAAACTCCTGCTTTATGTCCGTTATGCACAACCCACATGGAAATAAATGGGGAGCCTCGGGATGGTGGGGATTATCACAAATAAAGTAGGAGTCCCCCTTTCAGAGGACGGCAACGCTCACCTGATCCACAGAGGAAGGCATCGTACGCGGCCTCGTGAGGGTACTTGGTCTCAACTGAAGCAGCGTTCCAGAAGGAGAGAGCAGGACACAGCCATCAGAACATGGCCTGCACAGGGCTCTCTCCCCCACCCAGCCGCACACCCGCACTGGCCGTGTACACACCACCGACAACCATCATTCCTCCAGAGATGTGTGTGCCCTTCTCCCCACCCACGCCTGTCTTCACCCCGGTCCCCCCACAGCAGCAGGAAGCCGAGGCGGAGAGCCTCCCGGCAGGCCAGCCACATGTCCAGGGGGAGGTGACCCCCCAGGAGCTGCGATGCCTTCTGGGGTGGCTCCTTTGTAAGGGGGGTACCTGGAGGACAGGAAAACGATGGAGCACTCCATGTGGCCCTCCCACACACCTGCCCATGGGGAGGCCAGGCCTCCACTCTGGTACCTCAATACTCTGCCGCCCACAGAGCAGCTTATGCTCACAGGAACATACCATATTTTTCACACTTGCTTGCGTGAATAACCACTGGCCCGGAATTCTTGGTAGGATTCAAGTCACTAGTAAAGAAGAAAAACAGGATAGAGAGTCACCGCAAGTAAGCCCTTCTTGGTCTCTCCTCACCACGTTAACGTAAGTAAAAGGGTCCTCGGGACTGGGGTGCCTTTTTAAGAAAAAGACCAACAGGAACAGGCGGTAGGGTCTTGGTAGGCAGACCAGGGCAGGTGAAGGAGCACACCTGGGCCGGAGGCTGCAGCCAGGCTGCTCTGCGCACCTGCCACACGCTGAGCCAGACCCGAGGCACCAGGACACATGCGACACCGGCTCTGCCTGCAGAGCTACCCCGTGGCCCAAAGGGCAGGTACAGGGCTGGTCCCGCTGCTGCAGCGCCCCAGGCACGCACGGAGCACCCGAGGATCGGGAGGCTGCGGGCTGCAGGGACGGAAGGCTTCTTGAAGCAGGCAGTACCCCAGGAGTCCCGAACCACAGGAACTCGCTCAGCTGAAGCCATGGGGAGGCGACCGGCATCTCGAGCACGGAGAGCACGCAAAGGGAGCGAGGGAAAGGGAGCGAGGCCTGACGGCGCTGCCGAGGCGAGTGGTGTGGCTGAAGCCCCCGTGGGAAGGGCAGGGGCCAGGAAGAGAGCTCGGATGATCTGTGGTGGGGAGACTTCAGGAGCATCGGGAAGACGGACCAGAAACCTGGCTCAGTCAGGTTCATGTTTTGAAAGATCACTCCAGCGACAGTGCGCAGTGAGCCAGGCCAGGCCAGGCCAGGCCAGGGGATACCCGTGGCGCCTCTATGGTCCCTGGAATGAAAGAGGCCGGGGCGGAGGCAAGGATGCTGGGCACGCAGGGGCAAGGCAGACCTGAGAGGCTCCAGAGACGCTCAGGGCATCAGACAGACAGAAGTCCACGGACTAGAAGACGTGGCTGGCCCAGCCCCGGCCCTGGCACAGGGAGGGGATGGCACTCAACGAGGAAACCTTCCCTTTGTTTTCCGACAAAGCCTCTTAGAACCTGGGTGTGTGCCGAGCACCTCTGCACCGCTCGTTTCCCCATCTGTCCGGTGCATGTGCCCATTCGGTTTCAGGCCACCGGTCACAAGGCCAGCAGTGGACGCCACACAGACACGGGCCGAGCGCAGGCATCGGTCCAAGTCCTTTCCCGCGTGCGAGCACACTTGTGTCCACGGCCACCTGCGAGCTCCCCGCAGTCATATCCTCAGGTCACAGGTGGTACAACGGAGGCTCAGAGAGATTCGGTCGTTGCTCACAAGCCAGCGGATGGCAAAGCCGGCCTTTCAACCCAAGCAGTCTCGATTCAGAGCCTGTGCGTTTCCAACAAAACCCTCACATTTGTGCACGGCCCCTGTGGCCATCAGGACTTCGCGAGAGTTGCAGGCACAGAGGTGGGTTTGAGGGACGGAGAACGATGCCAAGTTAAAGGTGCCCGTGGCCGCGTGGGGCAGGAAGGCCCGGCAGCCAGGCAGCGAGCGAAGGGCTGTCCTGGAGGTCTAAATGGTCACGGACAGCAGTAGCTGAAGCTAAGGGAGTGCATTTGGTCACCCAGGGACACGATAATGAGCAAGGAGCGGGTCGAGGAACGACCCTGAAGGGACTTAAGGGATGGGTGGAAGAACAAGAGCCCACAAGGAATGGACTGAAAACCATAAAACCCACCAGAAATCCGGGGAAGGGTACCACCGAAGCACGGGTGGGGAGAGGCTGAGGGTGCCAGGCTCCAGAGAGCAGTCACCATGCCCATTCCTCGGGCCTCCCACGCATCGGCCCTCGGCTGGGACGACGGAGGAGTCTGCCCCAGGCAAGCTCACGAGAGCAAGTTCCGTGAAGGAAGAGAACCTGACCTCCGTGGGTCACGGCCGCATAGAGGCCCCTGAAGAGGCATGTCGCAAAGAGAAGAAGGAAGACTGTGGTAGCGAGCGCACAGAGTCAGGAGGGTGGCTCTGCAGTTTAAGCGAGGAGAACAAGGCTGATGGCGGGCGAGGGGAGGGGAGGGGAGAGGGCCAGGCTGGAAGCCCCGCCAGGGACACCGCCGAGCCAGTGGAGGGAGGACCACGGGGCTGGAGGCTGGACAGGTGGGCGCAGGGCAGCCCTTCCCGCCTGGGCCCCCCACACAGGAGGCGCTCATGTGTCCTGGCTGCTGGGAGACACCCTGACAAAGACAACACCACAAATGTTGGCAGGGCAGGGAGTGGACACTGCCTGCATTTGGCCTTGGATTTTCTTCCTGGAAATGGGGACCTGGGGGCGGGGGGCATTGGAGGAAGAACATGAAGCACGAGGGCCCAGAGGAGACTACCACGCACTGCACTGCGGGGGGGCGGGGGGGGGAATGCGGGTGGTCAGAGGACTGTCACCAAGAGAGGAACAGACCCATTCTCCTTTCAGAAAGGTGCCACCTTCAGCTGCCATGATGCCCCTCTCTCTCCGCTGCTCGGGGTTTCCTGGTCCTCCCAGATGGGGAGGAAGGAACCGAGCTCCCCAGACCCTGGCACTTCCCAGGCATCGTGTCCCCACTAGCACGACCCAGGCCTCAGTCAGAGCTCTAAGGGGAGGTGGGAGCTGCTTCTACAGAAAGGTCAGGGTCGTCCCTAGTATTGGGATCATTCATTCACTCAAGTGTTTGGGGTGCATCCTCCAGCCCCGTGGCAGGCCCATGACAACCACCAGGGTCCAGATGGAAAACAGCCCGATCTGCTGGAGCTTACCTCGCCAGTAATCAGACACAGATCAAGAGAAATTAAACCCTGGCTACCAGAAACCACCATATAATTCAACAGCTGTAGGTATTTCATGGGTTCCTGCCCCTCTAGATAGGGTGTACCCACCTCAGCACTAGGAACGCTGTGGGTTGGGGAATTCTTGGCTGTTGGGGGCTATTCCTGTGCATCCTGGCCTCTACTCACCAGATATAGCCCCCATTTGTAACAACCCAAAATGTCTCAACATTGCCAGATGTGTCCTGGGGAATAAAATCCCCTCCACTGAGAACCTTTGCTCTAAGAGCAGCTCAAAAAAAAAAGGCTTCCTTACCTGTTTAGGACTTCATAAACTTCTGAAAGATTTGAAACCCTTGGGAAATTCAGTTCCTAAAATTATGGAAAACAAATCAGGAAGAATAAAACTTGTGCTTTTGTTACCTGCTTTGAGTATTGCCAAATGGCCATTAAAGGAACATGGAAAATAGTTCCTATAAACCCCTCTTTCTATTCAAACATAAGTGTCCTTATTCCTTGATCAGGATGTCCAAGCACCTAATGATCTTGGGTTTCCTAAAAGGTTCCCAAAAAGCGAAGCTAGAAAAACTGCAACAGTTCCTACAGCCTTCCTTCAAAGACATGTGCTTAAGTGGTTCCATGAACATATGCCTCCAAGGCACCAGGCCATGGCCAAGGACACACTCGTAGGACACCAGGTGCTCTGAGAACCAGAGCCTTGGGACATGCTAGGTCGCCGTAGAGCTCATCTCCTCTTGTGTGACAAGGAGTCCACATGGGTCCTCTCAGATCAGCCCACGTCCTTCCTGCTTCACGCTAGGACTCTGCCACACGGACACGAGCAGCATCACAGAAGTGTTCAAGAACTAGAAACCGGGGTGGTACAGCAATGAATGGGCTCTGGGCAAGGATGTACCAGGCAACCCAGTGCCATTTCTGTGGCTCCCTTATTGGATAGTTAACTTCAAGTGACCAGCTTCAGGCTTTAAAATGCTGATCTGATTTCCCTTTCTCTGTTCCTCAGTTTAACTTCGAAGAATCATTTAAGCCAGTGGGGTGCCTCCCTTCTCCATGTGTGGTTCACACCCTAACTGCACTGCACAAGCCCCTGGGAGCTTTTGAAATACAACCCCCCCCCCCCAATCCTTCCAAACCACTGGGAGTTGGTGGTGGGACCCAGGTGTCAGGATTTGGCTTCCCAGGTGATTGTAATGCACTCAGGGTGGCAAACCCATGACTTTACACCTCAGTAAAGATTCTTCAGAGACTTCTGCACCCTGATGCTCTTGGAGCTGGCTGCAAATACTCCTCACACATACCTCAAGCTCCAGCACAAGCTCTTCTGTGGAGTGCTTATTTAGATCAGACAAGTTCCATATACCTCATTCAAAACATGGGAACTCGAATGAGGGAAGGAAAACACTCAGAAGCTAATAAGATAACCCAATGTTAAAACATAAAGGAAGCGAATACTGGTTGTAAAATAGAAGAAAAGGGTTCCAAGAAAGATTTTTAAAAAGAGACAAAGTGAAGTGTGATTGGGACAAAGCACTCCTTAACCCAAAGCAGCCCCGTTCCTTACCTTCCAGATATCCTTGGTCACATTCTTAGTGTCAATGAGAACAGGAAACAGGTTGTGGATATTCAGCTTAAATTGATCATAGCTTTCTGAAGGAAAAGACCAGATAAAAGGGAGTTTGTTGGTAAAACATGGGAAGATTCTCCAACCTAGCTTGTCACCAACACTAACAAAGCAAACAAAATGGGAATTAAAAACGTCCTTTCTCCTAAATCATTAAGAATTGACAGATCTCAAACCAACCTGCCATCACCATTCATGGTGGTGAAAGCCAAATGGCTTTCCATTAAATTCAGGATATCGTCTATGGTCAAGGTTAATGTAGTTTGCAAGGTTCTAGCCAATGGAAAAACGGAGAAAGAAGTGCTATTGAAAAGGCAGATATGAAATCGTCACTTATAAGGGACTATTCAGAGAAGATCCAAGAAAAATCAACTAAAAATTGTGAGTGAAGTACCCCGATAAGGAACTGAGCTATCGATGGGTTTATTTATCAAAGGCCTACCTGCACACAGTTAAAGAGGTTTGCTGCGAAACCAACCAACACAAGCCTTGCTCTCCTCGTCCCACTCCCCAGACAAGCACTTTCCAGTCCTTTTCTCTGGGTGTTTGTTCCCGGATTGCTCAGCTGTGCTACGGGCGATTTCCCCAGTTTTAGGCACCTACGTGGCTTCCTACTGCGTAAGAGGACTCCTGACTCAGCCCTGGACCGCACCTCCTTGCTCTCGTGGGGCCAGGTCACATCCCCCCCCAACCCCGCCACCTTTCCTTTCTTACCCAGCTCTTGTCCCTGCAATTTTGTTTTGTTGTCTCAGTTTTTCTGGTCATGGCTTATGAATTTTACCCCAACTTCTCCCCCAATTTCCTCAATATGCTCAAACTAAGGTGTTTTATCAATTCATTCCTTGGGGAAATCTTAGAACCGTCTCACCCTCTTGATCTAGATAGTGTACATTACTTCATTTAATCCCTGATACTAGGATATTGGTACCATTACTACCCCCCATTTTATAGGAAGCAGAGGAAGTGCTTTGCTGGAGCTCACACACGTAACAAGGGGTGGAATGAGGAGCCACGCATGGCTCCCAAGTCCATGCTTTTAACGGCTACACGACCCCGTTGTACATCCAGCCAGGGCACCATTAGTCATGGAAAAGTATGGCCCAACCACAAGACAAGGCCACACAGCCACTGATATGGCATTTATTAGGCCAATGACACAAATGCTTTTGGTAAGTGGAAATATAGCCAAACATAAAATCACCTATGTAGTGTGATCTAATTTGTGAGAACTCACAGAGGAAAAAGCAAAGTGTTGGGATTATAGCTGAGATTGAAGGCAGCATCTCTCCTGCTCACATTTCTGATTTTATAAGGTTTTATACAAGGATCTGGGACAATTTCCATAATGGGGGCCAGAGTATCCATTCAAATGTAAGTTTTTCTGCCAGAAAGGCACCTGGCTTCCACTCCGCGAAAATGGGAACAGGCACAGAGATGCTGGGACTCTGCAGAAGCCAGCGGATCGTGAGGAGATAGCACAGGAGGACCCTGGCCCCCACCCCCTCTCAAGGTGGCCAGTGAAGATGGAGAGGGGGATGGCAGGTGTGCCCGTACCTGGCAGTGGCCGGAAGAACTTCTCGTGCAGATGCAGCAGGTCCATCATCATATTGTGGCCCACTAAGGGCTACTTGGAGGAATCGGCAGGTGGCAGAGAAGAGGTTTAAAAACAGACATCCGAGGTGAACATGCTCTCACAGAGGGGGTAGCCTTAGAACCCACGGCAATCCTACCACACGGCAGTCCACCCCCCTTCACCCCACCCTCATGAGAGGTGGCCCAACGGCTCTGATGCCAGGAGGACAAGCGCAGTGCAGGAGGGATGTGGGGCACAGGGTCCATGCTGGGGGTCTAAACTGAAGAACTTCCCCCAGCAGTCCTAGGTCAGCTAGTAGTGAAGCGGCCGTGTGCCCAACAGGGGGAAAGGAGCCGCAGGGTTTTATGCGGACGCTCTGCCCCAGCTTAACCCATTACGATTTGGGGAAAGCAAGGCTAGATCTAGAAAGCCAGTTACTGACAGGAAAGAACCACTTATCTCAAGGAATCTTATTTTTGTTGGAGGACACAGCATATTTCTATGCTCAGAAATACAAATGACTGCTAGGGATCAGATTTTTTTTTTCCCCCTACCTTCTGGGCTTTCACCAGCATCTGGAAAAAGACCGAAAAACCCCTGGCAGAGAGAAGAATCTTCTCCTTCCAACAGCTGGCTCGATCACAGGAGGTGTTTTCAAGATACCAGCGATGTTGTTTACTCACTTTTTTCACTATTATCTGAGACAAAAGTAGAGACAAGTTCTCTGAATCCTGGGTTCCTGGGAACGAAGCCAAAGAAGCAATTCATCTCAAAAGGAGAGGTGAAAAGACAAGAGAAAGCCTTTCAGAGAGGCCAGATTTGGTGGAATGAGCGAGAATAGAGCCACTGGGACCGCCTGCTCGCAGGTGGGAACTCACCCCCTGATCTCTCAGGACCGTCCAGATGTCGGGGAGGGCCTGCCTCAGCACCAGCTGGACCTCAAAGGCCTGGAAACCTGTGGCAAGGAAACGCAAGGCTTTCACAGAACCAGCCAGACGGGGGTTCACTTTCCCCTGAGGAGAAGAAGTTGAGAGATGCATGGGGACAATGGAGAGGCAGCTCTCAGGTGTACCTAAACCCAGGAGCCCCCACGACAGGGATGGCACGGCATTCACGTCCATTCTCGAAGTTTATCTCAGGGCCACTCTGAGACAACCCTGGCGAGCCTTCGGGGGGGGTTATAGCTTTTGACATTCACTGCATTAGAACAGTGAACGTTAAACAATGCAAAGTTCTCTTTTAAAATAATAAAACCATTACGCTGCTACCCGTGATTTTGTAACATCATGCACTGGTTATGTGAAAAATATTGCTTTGTGGAGTTACTCGAATTTTTTGATGTTCACACATTACATACGATCAACAAGACATGTACCACGGGCCATCAGAACGGTCTCAGTATTGGGAAGCTTGTCAAGCTCACGGTGGCAGATCTGAGTTTTCCAAAATTTTAGTTTTTGATGGAAAGCTCAAATTTTATCACTCACAAATTCTGTTATTTTCCTGCAAGTGACAGGCTTACTTTTCTCACTTGAGAAAAGGACTGAAAATACCCAAAATCAAAATAACCACAGTCTGTTCTTTCATGTAAAAACGACATCCCATTAAAAGAAAAGGCATGGACTCAGCTCCCAGCTCAGAAACATGCACGGGCACTTTCCTCCAGGCAACCGCTGCACTTCGGTTAGCAACAGCAAGGTTTTACGCATATGTATTTTGACACATCGAAATTAAAAGGTGAACAAAGGTTGAGTTACTTCTTCGCCACGAAGGTAGTTCATAAAAACTAGATTTTGTGTTTCTAAGCTGGAAGTGGCAACGAAGTACAGGAGGACAGCCCGCAGGGTCTGCTCCGAGGTGCATTTTTACCCACCGGCGCCCCGCTCAGTACTATCCATGCAAATGCCCAGTGACAACGGCAAGTGACAGCCAAGTGAGATTTTGACAGTACTTTTGACCTTGTGCACCCCTTGGAAAGGGTCTGAGACCCCGGGGGGCCACAGACCAAGCCCGAGGACCACTAATTGAGGGCATGTTCATTGTGATTCCACACTGTGCCGTGGGGGAAAAAAAAAAAAATCCAGGGGTGAACACAAGTAAATAATAGTAACACAGGGCTCTCAGGATTGGGATAAAAAAGACGACTCTGAACGGAACGGGACATCTTCAACCTTAAAATTCAAAATAAGTCAAAAGGCCTCCGGCTTCTGAGTTGAGGTCAGAGCTTGATCTGACCCCAGGGACAACACGCCCGCTGAGCCGATGCCCAGGATCCACAGGAAGGAGAGGGTACATGCCCCCCAACCCCTGCACCCGACAGTGACCAGCCCCAACACCCCCAGGCTGGGGGGAGCAGCCTCCTACCTACCAGCGATACCAGGGAGAGTCATCCAGTCGCCCTCCTCCGCCAGGTCCAGCCACCGTGTCACCTCATCGATCACCACCTTGATCTGGTCTTTATCCAGAGAACTGAAAATGGGCACATGAAAGTGGGATGCTGGAGAAAACCACCAGAACCTTAAGACAATGTTAACATGACAAGAGTTTCAGAGGACTCCGGTTTTAACATTGTGATCTCAGCAACAAAATAAACCCAAAAAAGACTATTTTCTGAATCTTGTTCTGCAAGAGAGAGCCAGACACTCGGCTGATACTCTCCCCTACAATCGCAGGAGCATGTTCCATCCCTTTCTGCTTCACTGGGATGCATGGGAGCTAGACAACACTAAACACTCCTGTCAGGCCTGTCTGCTTAATTCAGCTTTTGGGGTGAAAAAGCACCATCTGGTGAAATAAGGAAGAGACAGGAACTTTGGTAAGCACGTCCTCTACGTTAGAAATATAAGAACACGATGTTATTTTGAGATAAGGAAAGACTTTTCTCCAACATTTGAAAATAACAGAAGATTAAAAATTCAAATAGATCTTCTCTTACAAAAAAAAAAAAAAAAAAGCTACATTTTTATATGAAAAACTCAGGATAAGGATTTTAGCGGAGGAAAAAAAAAAAAGGCACCTCCAGGGGCACCTGGCTGGCTCAGTCAGTGGAACACACGAATCTTGATCTTGGGATTGTGAGTTCAAGCCCAACATTGGTCATAGAGCCTACTTAAAAAAAAAAAAAAAAAAACCTCCAATATTATATAATTATCTGGACCCAATATTCAATCATAATATTCCAGAGTTAAAAATCGGTCTAATTTAACCTCCCATCCTGATAAAGGCAAAGAATCTAAAGCTCAAAGAGCTGAAATGACTAGTTCAGCTCCAGACTCTGCCAACACGGCCTGCCTAGGGCCCAGGGGACCACACAATGCTGTCACTCCACTACTCCTGGCCCAAGCTCCATAGCAGTCCTGGTTTCAAGTAAGACAACTGGCACTGGGGGCTTTAAAAAAAAAAAAAAAAGCAGAGGGGCGCCTGGGTGGCTCAGTCGGTTAAGCGTCTGCCTTCGGCTCAGGTCATGGTCCCGGGGTCCTGGATCAAGCCCCGCATCGGGCTCTCTGCTCAGCTGGGAGTCTGCTTCTCCCTCTGCCTGCCACTCCCCCTGCTTGTGCTCACTCTGTCAAATAAATAAAAATCTTTAAAAAAAAAAGAAGAAAGAAAGAAAAAAAGGCAGACCCCGCCCTCAGGAGCACGCAGATTCAAGAACACGGGGCAATATGTCCAGGCCATGACTGGCGTGGTCAAGGTTACACGTCATTGACCACCGAGACCTCCCCGAGATCGCCCTGAAGGCCAGCATAACATCTCGCACGGAGTCCCATAGAGCCTGCTCCCCTCCCCTCTCCGCCCCCCCACCCCACTGGCATGAAGCTCCCGCTTTTTCATTTGAGTACGGAGTTAAGAGTCAGTGCCTTTTTTCCCTTCACTTTTCAACACGAAAATCATCCTCCATATAGTAGGACGGCTCTCCTCTCAGGTGAGGGAACAGAACGCCCAGCACTTGGAGCTGCTGTGTTTGGCTGATGGCATGCTGCCGAAGCCACCCCAGCTAAAGGTGATGGCGGGAGGTCACCGTACCCTGGAGCCGGCACGCCAACCCACAGGAAACTCGGAAGATCAGTAGCAACAGAGCAACCGAGAGTCCCAAAGCCCCCAGAGAAACGGGCTTTACCTGCGAACTCTCCAGTTCCCGGTCAGGATGTTGTGTTTAATTTTCTTCTCCTGCTCCTCATTCATATATGGGATCCCATTTTTGAGAAACTAGACGGGGAACAAGGAGACTAGTGGAGGCATCCTCTGGGCAGGGGAGCAGAGGGAAAAGAAGCCTTCCTTGTCCAGTTCACGTGGACAGTAAATGGGCCTCAGCCCAGCTGGACCAGAGAACCTTTAAAACCTTCCCATTTCCCTTCTGTGCTGCCATACCTTGTTGTAGTCGAAGCCATACTGATTCAAAAACTGAACACTAGAAGCCTGGAAAGAGAATTCGGAATCCAAGATCCCAAATGTCGTCGGGAAGAGAAAGAAGTTACAGGAATGGGCTACATACCTATAAAATAAATAAATAAACGTAAAAAGGAAAAGCCAAAACCATTTTTAAAATTCTAGCTCGCAGAGCTGACTTCGGAGCAGGCTCCTCCTTTCATTCAAGAAGTATTTGAATGTTGGCTTTTTCTAGTACCAACTGGCCCTGGGGCCAAAGGAAAAAGGCAGAGATCCTGCCCGCATGGAAGAGTCTAGCCCCCATCCTGAGCCTACTGTTCAGCAGGCTTTCTGACTGCTGGTTCCTGGGAGCCACATCACCCTCATTATGACACTGTGTTAACTGCTACCTTCAGGGCGCACAGAAACGGGGAGAGGAGCACCTAAATGCTGGGAAAGGCCCCCCAGAAAAGATACCGTGCCGAGAGAGACTTGGACGAGCCAGAAGCTGCAGGGGACAGCGGGGCGGAAGGGCACAGAAGCAGAGGAGACTATGGAATGTCTAGGGCCAACGTGGTTCAGACCCTGAGGCAGTTGGAGGGGAGCAGGTGGAGAGGATCAGTGGGCAAGAGCCAGGTGTTTTGCAAAAGGTCTTCATACATACTTGTTCGACTCTCCTTCAATACTGGAAAACACAGACAATCCTAGAAGAAAGAGGAGGAAATGAATACCAAAGAAAACCTACCAGAAGTGAGCTTCAGAAAGGAAACATTTTGAACAATATTTTGCACCTAAAGAAACTGTGTACCCTTTAGAATAAGATTGTCTCTTAAAGAAAATATGGGGCAGGGCGCCAGAGTGGCTCCTTGGTTAAGCGTCTGCCTTCGGCTCAGGTCATGATCCTAGGGTCCTGGGATTGAGCCCACATCCGACTCCCTGGTCAGCGGGGAAGCCTACTTCTCCCTCTCCCCCAGTTTGTGCTCTAATAAATAAAATCTTAAAAAGAAAAAAAGAAAGAAAACACAGACTTGGAACAGGAGAACTATCAACTGTAATTCACACTGAAATTATTAAAATAGGATGGTGAATGGTTCTTCAAACACAGAATATTGACATTTTTTTCTAGTTTTAAAACTCACCAGAGGAAATGCTAAAAACCAGAGATTTATACATTTAATGGCTTTAAAATGTCCATATTGCTAAAGAGACCCTATGCAAAGTGAAGAAGGCTTCAAAGTAGGGGAGGACAACAGAAACGTATCAGTGTGCTGTTTCATGTACTTTTCACGGAGGTCTTACAATTAAGAAAAAAACCACAATAGAATAGCAAAGGACAAGGATAGAGAGCAACCACACACACAGACGGTCATCATTCACAGAAAAAGCAGGGGTCAGTAAAATCTGCTGGAAGTATACCAAATACATATGTACATACCAGAACAACACACACAAAAGGTAACTCAAATGTACATCATTAGGAGACTGAGTCAATGGATATATTCAATTTGGAATACTATGTGACTGTTAAAAACGGAGAGCTGTTTATGTCAATATAGAAAGATCTCTAAGCTCCATTAGCGAAAAAGGCTACAGAGCAAGATACTTATAACGTGATCTTGTTTGTATAAGTTTTCTGTAAACAAAAATCATACACATTTTCCCTTGAAAGATGGTACAGACTCCTTCATGTTGATGAACGGAGGCAGGAGAACAGTGCTGCTAAACGAGGTTTCTGCTTGTTGCACAGTGTTAGGCCCACAGGCACAACACAGACAAAAACCAAACAAGCATCCACAACCACAGCCAATCTCTCTGAAAGGGGTCAACGCTGTTTTACCAGCAGGAAACACAAAGACAACCCAAGTATCTCCCTCAGTAACTCAGAAGGAACGGCTGAAGAGGACACTCACCAATCTGACAGATGGTGAACTGCTGAACACTGTGGCGGGTCTTTAGATACCACTCGGAGGGCAAGTCGAAAAGACTGTGGGAAAAACAGGCATCTCATTCCACAGGCAAGGAGAGGATATAAAGGAGCCACAGCCTCCGCGCCGGATGGGCGCCTCTCAACCAGAGGCAGCGTTACCTTGTTACCAAGAGGGAAGGCTACCAGCATTTAGAGGACAAGGGCCAGGTCCCCAGCCCCCCCCCCCAAGTGCTGCCCTGCCCCCTCAAAGCCAATAAGGGCCTGCTGAGAAAGGCCGGGGACGTGGCCGGAGTGCGAGGCACGAGGGCACAGAGGAGCGCACCTCCCCTGGCTCAGCTGTACCTGATCTGCTGGGGCCGGGACAGGTTAGAGCGAAGGCCTGTGAACTCTATGTCTAGACCTGCGGGCCAGAAAAAAAAAAAAGACAAGAGTCCCCAGACGCAGACCACTGCCACACTGTTCTTGCTGTCAATGCTGCAGGTGGCAAATGTGTTCGGCTCACCGTCGGCGCTCACGAGGCCAGGTGGGATCAAGAAGAAGAAAATGAGAAAGCCAAAGCAAGGATAAGCCAGGCCAGTCATCCCATGGGCTCGGCTCCACCTGGGCCACAGTGGGGGCAAGGCCGCAAGTGCTGCTTAACGTCTCACCGCCCGGCCGGAGCACTCTCCCGCCCTTCGGAGGGGCCCTCTCGGAGCCTCCCGCGGCCTGGAGTCGGTCCCCGCTAGGCCCCACCTCTCCGCTCCGTCCCGCCCCCGCAGGCTCGCGCCCCCCAGAGCAGATTGGCGACACGGCCCGACTCCCCCGCGCCTCACCCACGAAGTCGGCGCCCAGGACGAGCTCCTGCAGCAGAGGAAGACTCTGCTCGAACTCGTCGGCGCCCACGTCCATGGCCACGCAGCTCGGCCGAGGGCGCCCGGTGCGGCCACGCGCTGCCACGCGCTTCCGCCGCGCCGCCCTTCTTAAGGGGCTCGCACGGCGATTGGCCGCGTGCCGCCACCTGCCCGCCCACAAGTGTCTGCTTGCACACCTCGCCCGCCAGCCGGGGCTGCCGGAGACCCCGCCTTCGCAGCCAGAGCCCGGCTCCCCTGGCGGCGGCGATCTCTCTGCAGTCGCTGGAAGATGGTACTTCCGTAGAGCTGGGTATTAAGAGGCGTGGTAGGAGAAAACAGTGCGGAAGAAGGGTACGTGCAGACCGGGCGGGAGCACCTGAAGGAACTGCAGGAAGTAGGCAATCACGGCAGCTGCGGCGGGGGGAGGGGCCACATCTCGTCCGCGTTGAAATCTGCACGTCTTCGCACTTGGCCCCTAGTGAGCTGGCCCTGTCCCCTCCCCCACACTCTATCTTCTTCACTTTGTCTGCAACATCATCCATAATACCATCTCTCAAACTTGCCACAAAGATCCTCAGGAGTTGCCTATCAAACTGAGGAAACCTTTGGTGCAGAGATGATCTAGGACCATCCTATTCCTTGCAGAGAAAACCCCTACCTACAGCGTTACTTCCAGGTGAACCCTATTTTTGTCACTGCCACTAGCCCAGTCTTCGGTATTTACACCCGCCCTTGAACACCAGACTTGTTTGAAAAGCCTTCTACAACCACAATCTTCAAAGTGAAGTGCTCCAGTCTTTAAGATGAGGCAAGAAAATATCGGACCTATAATAAACACTTTCAAATGTCTCCACTAGGGTATTTATTGATCACAAGAGGACCACTAAGTCACTGCATCCTCTCAGAACCAATCATACTTTTAAAAAATGTTGGTGCATACCCATCTTTTTAAAATACCAAACACTCGGATTAGAAATAGTAATGTTATTTCACTTCTGTATAAATATATAATTGGGATACACATTTAAAAATTGGGAAATGCTCTAGAAGCCGCCTTAACTGCTTACAGGTTCTTTCTCATTGCACCGGTCTTCAATAGCCAGAAAGTTATTTTGATTTAATCGACCCCTATAAAAGAGTTGCCGTTGATTCTCACTTAGCCCAGCTTCATTTTAGATTAAGGTGATTGCACTTCAAGCTTCATCTCCTATCCAACAAATTCTCTTTTCAAGGCAAACTGAGCATACACCAACCCTGCTCCTTTCCACCTCCACTTTCAGTTCCTCACTGCGTTTCTTTCTTCTTTCACATCTGGTTCTGCATGTCAGGGTTCAGGAGCCCAACTAAGGTCACGATTTGCCCCTTCTATCTTTACAGCACTAAGACTTTATAATAAATTAACTGATACGGACAGTTCCTATTTTAAAAAAAAGGTCCACACTCCGGGGCGCCTGAGTGGCTCAGTCGTTAAGCATCTGTCTTCGGCTCAGGTCATGATTCCAGGTCCTGGGATCGAGCCCGGCATCGGGCTCCCTGCTCTGCGGGAGGCCTGCTTCTCTCTCTCCCACTCCCCCTGCTGTATTCCCTCTCTCGCTGTGTTTCTCTCTGTCAAATAA